GGGGGGTGGTTGTAACAATGTGAGAGTGCTCTCACTCAATATCTGCGCATAAATGGATTAAAAAGTTGCATTCTCATAAGATCCAAATGACTTGGTGGAATACATTTTCAAGCTAGGAGTTTGGATCCTCTATGGCATGACGAGTGAAGCTTAAAAATTGGACCAAAGGTGCTGAAAAGCTCAGAAATTTAGATTGTGCTTGCGAAAAATATATTCTGCATGATCCCACTGACTGTTGATGAGATACTTTCAAAGCTACTGACAGGCACTATATATGGAAATGACATATATATATATTTTTCAAACTTCATAGAACATCACCCTTCACCTCTAAATAGAAGTTCAGTTTTTATGCATGATTGAATAAATCATTGCTCGTTCTTCTGTGTCCATGCTTTATGATTTACTAACTGGTTTTCTATTTCTCATCTAGATATATATCTGTTAGGAACAGTGATGTTAGTCTTTGGCATGGGTCTCTATGAGCTCTTCATCAGCAACCTTGACAAGTCAAAATCAATGTCAGAGGAAAGAACTCCATATAGATCAAATCTTTTCGGGATATTCACTCTAAAGGTTAGACTGATTATCTTGAAGACCGTCTTTCTTGGATCTAACAACTGCATATTGGTGCCAATTTTCCAATGCAAGATTCTGTTGCACAGATGACATATTCGTGTTTCTTGCACAGAACATCTGATTCATCTATTTTGTACTTGTCAACTCAATTGTCAGGAACGGCCAAAATGGTTGGAGATAAAAACTGTTAGTGGGTTGAAGACCAAAATTGGTCATGTAATCGTAATGCTTCTTCTCATTGGTTTGTTCGAGAAGAGTAAGAAGGCTGTTATACACACACCATTAGATCTGCTTTGCTTCTCAGCTTCAGTGTTGCTTTGCTCTGGCTGCCTGTTTCTGCTTTCTAGACTCACCGAGGAGAATTGATCAGTTTACAGTTTTGTACAGTCCAAAATATTTTAGTAGACTGGTGTGGGGAAATCTTGCCTGAGCTTAACATGTATTTTTTCATGTCCACATGCATATGTACAGTATGTGTGCAACTGAGGAGTGATATAAAATAACAATCTCCTGCTTAATTTTTCTCCATTTTTTTGGGTTCCTGTTCAGTTTATTCTAGTCTGAATTTATGATTCAGAGCCTGTATAATCTTGTAAAGACTTGCTTCCTTGTCTTTGGCAGACTTTGTATCCTTAACCATACAAACAGGACTTTTTCTCCTTGCACTTATTAAGCAAGAAGTACTAACATTTTACTCCCTCCCTTCCAATTTATATGACCCTTGTCGCTTTTCGAGATTCCAATTCTTAAATTTTGACCATGTTTTAGATATAGAATGTTTTAGTGTTTCGAAATAAAATTTACATATTTGGAAACTTTGTAAAAAGTACTACAAGTCACTAACAATCAAAGAATAATTCGTTTGACCGTAAATTGGGACGGAAAGAGTATCTGGCAGTTCTAAAGGTTAGAAGGGTGGAAAAGAAAAAAAGAAAGAGAGGGAGAACTGAAAAAATCAATAGATAGATTTGTGGATTTGATCAAGCTTTCAAGTGGTGAAAGACCACTTTAACCTTAATTAATACAATTCAATTACATCCAAAAAATAATAAATTTGAACTTGTTTAAGCTAGTTTTCCGTAAGTAAGACTATGCATTGTTAGTTTTAAGCTCCGTGCAACATTCATAAAGAAGTGAAGTTGAAAAAATGAGTATTTAAAAAGAGTATTTGGAAGTTACTTTTTCTTCAACCATTGATCATCCGATGACAGCCTTTAACCGATACTATAGCCTCCTTGCCAACATAAACCCATGTCTCTTCAAGTCTTTCTTCATGTTAAAATATACCAAAAGATTTTTTTTTTATACGTCGGTATATATAAATTAAATCTGAAAAAGAAACAAACATTATTAAAAAATTGTTATTAGTTATGAACTTTGTCTCTAATCTATCGCAAAATCTCTTGTAGCTAAAAGAAATTTTTGATAATTTATCGCTAAATTTAATTAGCGACGAATTTTGTTGTTTAGCTACAGTGTTAGTCCGTCACTAATTCTTATTTTTATAGTAGTAAAATAGTTAGCCGGATTTAACTTTTGTGACTAATTGTTTTGTAGCTTTTTACTTCATAAGTTAAAGTGATCTATAATAATATTATCTACAGTAATCCTGAATTGTGAACCTAAAAATATCAACTAACTAATTTAATTTATTACAGCCATTAAAATAAACTAATAGTGCAAAATGCTATTTACACCATAGGCATGTATATAAGTTGAATCCAACTTAGCCATAAACCAACTCCTCCCTCTACAACAACGTGCCCTACCCTGTCACATCAGGTGGATCTATTGGTTACGAGTTTACATGAACCCGTTAGATTTTGTCTGGACCATATATATTATATATAAGTTTATTAAAAATACATAAATATTTGTGATCAACTCAGAGATCATTTTACAAAATACATAAATTTTAAATTCTGAATCCGCATTTGTGATACATATATAAGTTATATATCCCAACCCCACCCCGCTCCATCCTCTCAAGTCTCATCAACAAAAAGAACCATTGTAACAGTTAAGAGTTGACCAGATTGGGATTTAATCAAAAGACTTTCTTTTAAGTAAAATCAAGAAATGATACCTCTCTTTTTCAAGAAAACCAATCCAAAGGCTTCTAAGAAAAAGGTGAAGTAGCAACCACAAGGCAAGAAACGAAAGTACCAACCAATTAGAAGCAGCTCGCACCTAAACTATTTTGAGTAATCTTCAAGCTGATTCTTCCTTTCCTCTTTCAACTTTCTTTACTCTCCCTTCTCATTGAAAGCCGCCCCAAAAAGGAAAGAATCATCTCTCTTATGGAAAAACACCAAGTCATATTTCCATTGCTTGTCTTCTTTGTTATTGCCCTTGGTTTTATCTCCTTCTCTCTTTTCATAGCTGCTGAATTCAAGAAATCAAAGGTATGTCTATTACATTCACTTTTCTTGGATCTTTTTTTAATGAGATTTTCAGTATTTCCATATCATCAAATTGTTGCAGACATAATTAAGGAAGTAAAAGTTGTGTCGATCTGTCTCTATCAGTTTAAGGTTTTAAATGAGATGGTCGAACACTCCAACACAAATTTCGTTCTGATCCATTGCAGAAGAAAGATCTGAGACTAGATGGGAAGTACTGTTACTTCCCTGGAAGCGCGGCGTTTGGATTGGGAATTGCAGCTTTAACATGTTTATTCATTGCTCAATTCATTGGAAACTTGCTAATATGCAGAAAGTTGTTCTCAAGGGATAAAACTGAAAACAGTTCCAAGGTTGAGAAGAAGTCCCTCATTGCTGGCCTCTTTTTGGCACTTTCTTGGTAGGTCAAAAAACGTATTCGCAATTTTTACATCAATGAATATAAGATATGTATTTCGTATATAATTTCTTATCACTAAGTTGATGTGTATTCTGCTTTAATATTTGATTCATAAGGTTAAATTGTTAAATTTGGTGTAAACACATAATAATTTTTCTTTACTTTCCTAGCTTTTATTGACCTTAATCACTTATGAAATCAAGGGAGAGTCTCTTGCATCGAATTTTACCCTAATAAAAGCTGGAGAATTGACAATATTAAAGCAAAAATCATGCTGCTTGAGTAAAGTACATGTGTCAGAGAAGTGAACATAAATAAATTCCTCTATTAGAATATCTCTGAGATATCATTGCCCGCAAAATCTGCNATATATATATATATATTACAAGCCAATTACTATCTTTTGCAGATTACAGTTTCATGTTGTTATTAAAAATTACTTGTAATTTTGATTTTTCAAATGATCTGAGGGCGTAAAAAAGGTTTAGTGCCCGTGTACAGTAGCTAAACTCTAATTCATTTTCCTAGAAAAAATAATACTACATGCGAGGGAGTATCCATATGTTGTGACCTCATGTTCCTCTCTTTATATCACGTGTAATATTATATTTCTTAATACTATATGCTTAAATATATGTGTGCACCTAAGCTCCTATGGTTCAATAATTATTGAGTGTACCTTTTATCACCGAAGTTAGCGTTTCAGTTCTCATTTTATAAGCATGTCTAGTGTCCCCTATTGTGTTTTAATTAAGTATATTTTCTTCTTCTCTTTTCTTCTATTTCTATTTGATTTATTCATTCTAAATTGTAAAATCTAATACATTGAAATCCTTGATCTCCCTTTGTCATCACAAAATTTTATATCATTAAAATTAATAGCAGTGGATGATGTAACACGATTCGATGATCTCAACATTTTTTATACATAATATATAGGTATATATGTTAAAAATTACAAAAATTATAAGAATTTTTAAAATTTTAACCGATAATTCCTAAATGATAATGGATTCATGGTAAGAACCTAAAGGTTGAATCCATCAAATATAGATTCTATGTTTACCTATTTATAATAGTGACTCATCTTCTTGAAATCTTAAATCCGCCTCTGACTACATGTGGTATATATAATTACCTACTAGTGAAAAATAGAGGGTCGATCATGGACAACTACGAATTATTTTTTTTTTAAATGAACTGTTGAGCAGAGCCGGAGCTACTGTGTCGGTTACGGGTTCGGCCGAACCCAGTAGCTCTGATTCAAATCATTGATTTCTTTTACAATTTTCATTAAATATGAACAAATTATTAACCTAGAACCCTGTAACTTAAAAGGGTTACGATCCTGAACCCATAAGTTTGAAATACTGGCTCCGCCTATGTTGGTGAGTTCTCTGACACTTTGAGTAGTTGATTAATAAAAGGATCTTTATGTAAATAGCCGTTCAATTCACTGTTTACTGTTTATATATATATATATATATATATATATATATATATATATATTACATCCGGTTATTTTATAGTTTAAGCGGTTAGGTAAATGACTATATATTTAGATTAATTCTTTCTAACCATAATATGATAAGCTAAACAAGTTGCAGAAATGGAATGGTGGGTGCAGGATCAGCTTTGGAATTGCTGTAATTTTAATAGGGGCATCCACAATCATGAGCAGAAATCAGCACTTTGGTGAAGGATGGTTAGATGGAGAATGCTACATAGTCAAAGATGGTGTCTACACTGGCTCAGCAATTTTGGTGTTGGTCACTTTAAGTTCAACTCTTGGTTCAGCCATCATGAAAATAAGGAAGAGGAATCAAGTTGAACAAGATAGGAAAGTGCTTCAGCAAGTACTTCAATAGAAAAGATAGAAGATTGGAAATCAAAAATCTCAAGGAGATGGTGTACTACTTTGGAACATTTTAAAGTTTTTCTGGAGGTAAAGGTGCTTCTTTTTCTTCTTGTTTTCTGACAAAAGATCCAAATTTAACTTTCTATTATACGAAATATTCCAATTCCATTCCGGTTATACTTTATGGTCCTTTATATCTTTGTTGTTAGAAAATTGTCTGTTAATTGCCTTTTTCTTTAACAACACTCTAGCGCATTCGTTGTTTGATAAAAAAATATAGATCTTGATTCTAATAATTAAATTTATATATATGAGGTTTAATCTTAGCTAACAATAATATCTCAAAGATGGAGTTCTCAAAAGTGCAATAAATACTAAGTAGGTATATCTTGATAACATCGGCAACATACAATCAATATTCAAGGAATCAAAGGCAATAATGTAGCATTAAATATTGATGAATAGCAATAAATAATATTTAAGTAAATAGAATGAATTAGTCACCCAATAAAGGATGGAATTAGTGAATGTTCTTTCTGACAATGATGAATGATAGATAATCCTTTGAATATCTGAGTTATTCTCGGATCTAGTGAAAAAGTGTAGACAAGAATTTTAGTGAAAAGGGTGATGTTTGTATGCTTGCAAAGAAATTCGATTCTCTCTCTAAAGTCAAAGTGTATTTTTACAAATGAATATCACATATCCTCTCTCATTATATCTCTTTCTATTTATAGGGAACATGTTCCTAAAAAAAAACTAACAATACAAGTGCAGAGAATATTCACTTTTGTATCATATCTCGAAACTAGCCGTTATAGCTCTGTCAAGGGTGCTCGACCTCGGCCACAACTCCTCGACTTCAGTCTTGCTGACTCTTCAACCGCGGCCTTCGTTGATGATTAGATTACCTTGATGCGTGGCATCCCAGGAATATTTTACTAATACCATTTCGACTAGAGACCCATGCATGCGCGAAGCTACATTGTCCTAGCTAATTAAGAGTGGTCAATTAACCACCCTTTATCGAAAAATTACACTATGTATATAGTAAAATATTAAGTTTTGGAGGTATATAACATATATTGAACACCCTTTGCTGGGAAACTGTTTCACCTCTTTCCAATTTGAATAACCTTGGGAAAATTTCTGACTTCACTACTGCTCTAACGTTGAGTGTATCGATTCCAAGTTTCAAAATATTTTTTTAAGAAATATATTCATATTTACCTTCCTACTTTTGACTGTGCTTTAAAATTACCCTTTACAGTACTTTATTGGAGCTCCGTTAAGTTTAAGTCAAATACTAAATGATTTGCTAACGACAAGCATATGAATGACAACAAATATATATGAAGATAACATTCAATATTTTTTACCTGTTATCTTGATGGTAGAACGGTGCTACTATTCTTTCTTCTATCATCGTTAGGAAGGGGAAGGAGAATAAAGTGAAGCTCTAATGTTTCTTATTTGGTTCCCTGCTAGCTGAAGAAAGAAGATTAAAGTGATAGAGAAAGAAAAGAATATTGGTAGTTTTATGGCAATATAGGCATATGGAGTACGGTACTACGGTTTTCTTTCCAACATGTTGGTGGTGTGTTACTATCTAGTCTGGCAGTTTCTTTTTTGAAGTTTACTCTCTATCTCTATTTTTAAATGTATAATAATTAACACTTCAATGAGTCAGCAAGGAACGTATATAGTTAAAAAAAAAATTACATCATGAGAATTTGAACAGATGGGCAAGCTTTAGGTGTATGAAAATTAGAATAATACTCAAAGACGTTGCCAAAGTTTGAAACAACCTTTAAAATTTACGAGGCACTGTGTTTAACATTTTCATGATCATCACTCCCATAAGAAGCAGGGGCGGCTCGACATAATTGAGGCTTAATTAAAACGTACTTCCTCCGTTCACTTTTACTTTGGAGATATACTAAAAATAAATTTTTATTTTTACTTGTCACTTTACGCATATCAAGAGAAGACAAATTCGTTTTTCCTGTTATACCCACAGTATTTATTACTCATTTTAAATCATTTTCTCAAATCCAATAAAATATGCATCAATTAATATGAATATCATGGTAAATTATGCACTTCATTTATTATTTCTTAAGGGACGTAAAAAGTCAAAACGTGCTAAGTAAAAGTGAACATAGGGAGTAATTATAATTAGAGGCCTAAAATTTTTATAATCAATTTCTTTAGTAATTATTTTTCAATCTATAATATGGCTAACTAATTTAATCATTCTCGAGACGTTGTTGATCCCCAACTATTAGGCATTCAAAAATAAGTTTTTTTTACGTAATTAAGTAAATTGATTAGAGTATTATTTTTTACTTGTACTATTTCTCTTACCGCTTTTAATTTAAAATATATGTCTAAGTCATCAATATTAAAGTGACTATTATACTTTAAGGATCATCAAAAGTTCACACAATAGTTTTTTTTCTTTCAAATTCTTCATTTTGCAATCTCAATCTTTTAAAATAATATTGTTAGGTTTTATTGGTGGGAATGTATAAAATGCAAAATGCAAGTTACATCAAGTTTAAGGAAATCATAAAAATATATTCATTTTACTCAAGAGGACTTTTTCATCCCTCAATAGTCACATCAACTTCATAATAATACAATTTTACTATTGTAAAATACTTAAACTTTTTTTAAAAAAAGTAACACATGACCTATTCCTTTTAAAATTGGGGCCCTTCGAAATTGGGGGCCTAAGGCATATGCCTTACTTACCTATCCTTAGAGCCAGCTCTGAATTAAGAAGATATTTGAAAAGGGATGAAAGAATTTCTCTAGTATTTCAGGTGTTTAGGCAGTGGCGGATCCAGAGTGGAAGAAACGGGTTCACAGGAAGCCAGTAGCTAGCTTTTGCCCTGACCTTATATATATATATATATA